TTCGATTCTTTGACAACGGAGATTTTAAGACCAAATTGTTCTAGGTGTCAAACAATTTTAAAACTCCATCTTTCATGAAAACTGAGAAACCTTTTTCGACTAGTTGTCCAGCACTTAACAGGTTGTACTTTATTCCAGGTACATAGAGTACATCTTTGAGCATAGCTTTCCCTCAATTACTCAATTGAAAAACTATGTTACCAATACCTTCTACTTGCAACGAACTATTATCAGGAAGTTTTATCTTGCTCTTCTTTGACTTGACAAAGTCTGCCAACCACGCCTTTTAACCGGTCATATGATTCAAGCAGCCTAAGTCGGGGAATTATATCTTGGATTCGACATGGTTATCTGCAACTACAGCTATAACCATCATACCTTTAGAATCATCTGAATCTTAGTGTGCAAGGTTTGCTCCTTCGTCCTTGCCTGTTGATCCCTTGTCTTTCCTGTACCAAATATTCTTGGCAAAGTGACTCCACTTTTCACAGTTATAACATTTTACACCTTTTTTTATCTTCTTTATCCTTTCGATACTTTCCTCCTCCTCTTTTCGAGGATTCATAAGCTCTATCTTTGACTTGATACTTGTGAGGGTTCGGCCAAGACTTATTTCCCTAAGTCTTGTCGAATTTGCCTATGAATTTGTTGGAATCACCATTCCTTTTCCATGAATGAACTTGCAGAGCTTGTATCGAGTCTTGAACTTATTTCCTTTCGACAATCCCAATCTCATGCGCTTCTAACAAACCAACCAAATCTTCCAGTTTTAGGGTTTCAAGTTGATTGTATTCTTGAATAGCTACGATAATGTGATTAAAGTGAGAGGTCAGTGTTCTTATTACCTTCTCAACTATCATCTTAGCAGTTATGGTTTCACCATAACCCTTTATGAGATTAACAAGTTTCTGAACCTTCAACATATATTCTGCAACTTTTTCATCTCCTCTCATCAACAACAATTCATATTATCGACGCAAGGTCTGCAACTTGACAACCTTGAATTTATCACCTCCTTCACAATACTTGACCAAAATATCCCATGCCTCATTCTATGTTTTAGAATTAGAGATTTTGTCAAAGTTAGCAGCACCGACCGCCGTCTGAATGTAATAAGCGACCTTGAAATCTTTCTTCTTTACTTCATTGCGGGAATTTTTCCGTGCTTCGGTTGCATCTGGAACCAGCGTCGGAACGCTGTTGGCAACCACTTTTAGGGTATCATGGAAGCCAAACAAGGATTGCATCTGTTTTTTTCATCGGATCCAATTTTTTCTATCAAGCATTGGAATAGAATTTGAAACGCCCTTATCACCAACCATCTTTGCAGCGGTTGATTCACTTGCCCCGAAAACGTGATCTCTGACATGAAGTTCTTGAAAACGCAATGAAGAACAATAATCAGAAGCTCCGGATACCAATTTGGTAGTGTGTGAGACACTTTTAGTGGGGAGAGAAAGAGAGAATAATAAGAAAATAAGGATTATATTGTTCACTTGAATTGTATAATACAAATAATGATACAAACTATGACTATTTATATACAATCCTAATTAGGCTTGGGCTTTCTACCATGGATTATAATTGATATTATATATAATATCTCAATATATCTAAATTTGGATTATATTTGATATTATATCTAATATTTCAACATATCTAACTTGGATTATATTTGATATTATATCTAATATCTCAACAAATAGAGAAAATATAAAAGACATAAGGGTCGAGAGAATTGTACTATGATTTATACACATTCGACCTAACCACTTGGCCTACTCTTGTCCCTAAGAATTTCTTTTAGAGTGATTCCATTGTATCAGATGAGAGCTTTTCACTAGTTATGTTCACAAAATTTGTTACAATCAAAGAGGGGTTTTGCAATGGCTATCCTCCAAACCAAATATAAGATTTTATACTAGGACAGTCTCAAAACGTGTAAAGCTTTTACACCAGGATGAAATCAAGAACCAATAAAGATTTTAACAGACAATTTCATGAAACAGATGAGAGTTTTTACATTGGGCTGAGCTCACGAACCAAGCGAATATTTTGATTGGCTAATCTGACAAACCAAACAAGAACTTTTACACTGGATTGAGCTCAGAATCATACTAAGATTTTGGATGACTAATCTCACAAATCAAACAAGAGATTTTACTGGTTTAGCTCACAAATCAAATAACAACTTCTCACAAGATAGATTACATAAGAGACAAAGTTCTTTTGAGTAAATTACAACACTAACCCCACTACCAGAATTTAAAAAAAACTTCATTTGATATTTTTCATTCTTAAAGAACTGAGATAATATAATTAAAAAAAAATGAAATGGAAAGAGTAGAAAGTTAGAAAGTATATAGAAATATATTTTTTTGGTGTATTTTAAAAATGAGGAGAAACCCTCTATTTATAAGAGAGAAATTTGGCTCGAAAAGAAAAAAAATTTGGTGCTTTTATTTGTCTATTAAATTGTTATTATTTTAACTGAGAAAGTTTGATTTCAACTATTTTAATTTGTCGACAGGTTTATAGTTTACGACTTATTTTGCAGTTATGCTACCGAGTTAGTGTTAAAGTTGAAGAAAATGTGATTCTTTGTTGGCGTTTTTAGAACTTGGACATATTACTGCTTCCTTATAGGAGAAACTGAAACAAAATAGTTTGTATAATCAAGAATAACCTCTAGTATCTACTGTATCACTTCTTAATCTTTAAATTTTATGTTGCTTTTTTTTCTTCTATTTTGTATTTGCACACAACCTGTTTGATAAAATGTTTGATATATTTACTTTAGAGGATCACTGAAATGTAACATTGTTTACATTGCAGTTGAGGGCAAAAAAAAAGACAGTTCCGATGATATTCCTCTTGCGTTGTGAGCTAGTGACATTCAAATCATGGATTTTTTTATAGGTAACACCGTTATAAATCACATGTTAGGCCTATGGGTTAGGGTTTTTCAATTTATAAAAAACAATTTTTTTAATTTTAAAATACATATTAATAAATATTATTTTTGAAGCTATAATAAATATTAATTTTTTTATATTATTTAAAAATACATTTTTTTCAATTTATTTTTTTAAAGCTAAAATAAAACAAACGCATAAAAAGGCCATGAATAATATTTTTTCCTTAATATCATTTAGGAGGCCAGATAAAACTTCAGCACATACGGTAAAAAAGGTAAGAACACAAAGGAACTTTCCTCATGCCTCTATAGGATTTAAACCATCTAGTTAATTGTATGCAATTAATTAGAATGTAAAAGAAAAAGAAAAAAGTCTTGATACAATTTATAATAGTAGTGATAAGTCTTAGGGCGAAATTCATGGCATGCAAAGTATGTTCCACAAAATTCCACTCCATTTTGTCATATGTTTTGGCCATGTCTAACTTTAGACCAACAAAACCTCTTTTACTTTTTTGTCATTATTCATATGAAGAGTCTGACAAAATTTAAAAAATAAAATGATATTTATCAGTAACAAGTTTACTATAGAAATGAATGTACTTTGATTTTGGTTAACAATAGTATTGAGATATAGTTTAATTATTTTAGCTATGGTTTAATAACAATTTTGAGAATATTATTATAGCTGCCAAAACGATCTGTGAATAAAAAATCATTACTAAAATATAGTTTTTCATAATCTTGTCGAATTTAAGAGCATACAGTTAATAACTTTTCTCTTTTGGATAGGATCGAGGTGTTCACATGTGTGGGAAACTTATCTTATCTATTTGCAAAGAAGACAGCACATTCCAACATCATTCAAACCGATCTAAAACTTGTTGAAATATTTTATTAAATATTTTATTTAATTATTATATTTTAATATAATTATAATTTTTTTAATTATTAATTTTTTATTGATTAGAAGTGTTTATTGATTAGTGATTAAATGAATTAATTATTCAATTATACTTATAAATTAAATAATGAAATATTTATCTAATTAATATATATGTAAATCTCAAGATGAACCACAATAATGAGAATTTTAATTCAATATATTAAATAAATTGTATTTTATCGATTTTTCTCATCTCTTTAATCAAAATAATAGATTGTTAAAATTATTCTTCCTATTATACTTTTATTTATTTTTTCTTTTTAAATAAATATTCTTTTTTTTTCAATAATTAACTGAAAAAATAATTAATTTTATAAAAAATGTGAAGAAGTTATTGAGAAAATAAATATATAATTGATAAATTATAGTATTAAATTGTAAAAATAACACTTAAATGAAAAAAAAAAACAGAAATTTTTAAAACGATATTTAAAAAGAAACTGATGGAATATAAAAGGCTTCTTCTACTCCCCTTACCTTTCGTTAACCCACAGATTTTGTTCATCTCAATGTCCCACAGACTTAGATTGTGATTTATTCCCATCCACGCTAGAACCTGTTTCTAAACGCCCTTGGTCACCTCGCACTCAAAGAGGAGATGATTACAACTTTCAATCATCATACCACAGTAAACACATTTTTCATCAGTAGCAATTCCAAAGCGTTTTAGACATATTTTGTTGATAATCTATCCTGACATACTAACCATAAAGTGAACATTGATCTAGGTCTTGCATAATTACCATATAAAAGCTTCCTCCATGTGACTGCTGGTGTATCTCCTATAAACATATGATATATTTTCCTTGTTTCATACTATTAGAGTAATAGCTTTGTATATGACTGACAAATGTTAAGTCTAGAGTAGTAGCTAACCTGCTATAACAGGTCACACAAGTTGCTATTATAAATGTAATTGTGTATCTCCTCTTGTAATTAACTTTCACACAATAACAGAAATGAAAAGTTCGCCTTTGATTTCTATCATGGTATCAGTTTAGCTAGATTCGATCCATGGCATCACCAACTTCACCAGGATCGCCGTCTTCCGCTAACGTCACGGTGCAAAATTCGCTGTTCACGGTGGCGACTAATGAAACTCGCCGCCTATAATTCTCAAGATCGCGCATAAACTTGATGAGAAAAACTTCCACATCTGGCGTCAACAGGTGGAGCCCTACATCAACGCGTACAATCTCGCAGATCTCGCCGTGTGCACTCGAATTCCTCCCAAATTCGTGGACGATGATGCTCGTCGTCAAGGTACGATCAATCCTACATACTCAATTTGGCTTCAGAAAGATCAATTGCTTCTATCATGGCTTCAATCGACTCTTTCGAGCAAAATTGTGTCGCGTGTTCTTGGATGCTCTCATTCGCATCAACTCTGGGATCAGTTATTCAGTTATTTCCAGAAGCAAACTCGTGCACGTGCACGCCAATTGCGTGCCCTAACTCTGGAGTCTCAATCTGTCTCTGATTACCTGTTGAAAATCTACACGACCGTGGATGCTTTGGCTTCAATTAGAGATCTTATTCCCAGTTCTCATCATATTGATGTGATTCTTGAGGGGCTTCCTAGTGAATATGCTCCTGTTGTTTTAGTTGTAGAGAGCAAATTTGGTGATATGGATTTGGATGAGGTTGAAATCCTCCTAATTGCACATGAACTAAGGTTGAACAAATTCAAGAAATCTACTGTGCCAGATCTTGGATCTCTCAACCTCACACACGTTTCACCTCAGGTAGCTTCCCCTGAAACTCCTCAATCTGGCAGTACTGATTCTACTCACTCATAGGTAGCTCCCTCTCGTGCAGAGCCTGAATATTCCAGTTTCAGAGGTGGAAGATCAAACAGGGGTGGTCGTGGCAAAGGTATAGGTGGTAGGAACTCCACAATTCAACGTAAAGTTTGCTCCAAGGTTGGACACTCAACTTTAAATTGCTGACATAGGTTCAATCAACACTTTCAGCCTCCCTCTTACAGTGGTAATCCCTATAATGCAGCTCCTTGGCAATTTCCTAAGGTGCCTTATGGCCATTTTCCTGCTAATGTGTGGACAAGACCTCCAACTGCTCAAGCAAGGCCATCTCTTGCCTATTATTCTCCCAACACATTCATTGCAAATGCCACTCCCTCTACATCAGCTATGTCCTGGTACCCTGATTCAGGGGCTTCATATCATGTCACCAATGATGCAAACAATCTGCAGCAAGTCACACCTCTTAAGGGTCATGAACAGATTTACATAGGAAATGGCCAAGGTCTACTTATTAACTCTGCTGATTCTAGTCAGTTTTTGTCTCAAAATCACCCTCACACACCTCTCACACTAAATAATCTATTACATGTGCCTTCCATTACCAAGAATCACATAAGTGTGAGTCAGTTTTTTCGTGACAGTCATGTTTACTTCCTTTTCACAGTTGATTCATGCTTTGTCAAATGTCAGGTGTTTAATGTTGTGTTGCTGACTGGTCACGTTGGTTCAGATGGGTTGTATGAGTTTCCCTTGCTCAATGTTTCTAAATCTACTGTCTACTAAGTCTTTAGATTCTTCCAATAAACTTGTACCTTCTGTCAATTTTGTTTCTATTTCTCCTGCTTTATCCAATGTGTGGCATTTAAGACTAGGCCACCCTAATATCAACACCTTGAGATTGGTGCTACAAAGTTGTAATCTCAAATTCAGCAATAAAAATCATGACTATTTTTGTTCTGCTTGTTGTATGGGTAAAGCACATAGACTGCATTCACCTATCTCACACACCACTTATCTTCACCCTTTAGAACTTGTGTACTGTGATCTGTGGGGGCCTTCTCCCCAACCATCAGCACAAGGTTTTACATACTACATCTCCTTTATTGATTCCTTTTCCAAGTTCACACGGCTGTACTTACTTAAATCTAAAGCTGAAGCACTTAGTGTCTTCAAGCAATTTAAGTCTCTTGTAGAACTGCAACTTGGATTCTCCATCAAAGTTGTTCAGTCAGGTTGGGGTGGAGAATTTCATCCCTTCAAATTTCTGTCTGACATTGGCATAGTGCACAGGATTATATGTCCTCATACTCACCACCAAAATGGAGTGGTGGAAAGAAAGCATAGGCACATTGTGGATCTAGGCTTGACATACTGGGATTATGCATTCACCACAACTGTTTTTCTCATAAACAGACTTCCCTCCCCAACTATTAAATTTCAGGTTCTCTATACTCTTATGTTTCACATTGTAGCTGACTACAAATTCTTGAAGGTATTTGGTTGTGCCTTTTTTCCACTCCTGAGACCTTATAATGCACAAAAACTGAAATTCGGGTCTCAAGAATGTCTATTTTTGGGTTATTCCAATTCTCACAAGGGTTATAAATGTCTTTCCCCTAGTGGCAAACTTTATATATATCCAAGGATGTTCTATTTCATGAATCCAGGTTTCTCTGCCTTGAGTTATTTTCTCCACCCACTTCACATGCTCCTAATGTCAATAACTCTGCCAAACAGAATTCCTCATCGTCCCTATCCTCTCTCTTTTCCAATATCTCTCCCTAAGCCTATGCCTCTAACAGTTGTTCCCTTTTCTTCTTCTAACTCACTTGTTTTTTCCACCTACTCCAATTCCTCTACATCTACAAGTCAGTCAGGAGATGCCTCCCCTTCTATCACTGAACCTGAGAACAATTTACCTCCTACTCCTCAGCCGTCATCTCTGACTTCTCCCTCAAAGCCTCCAATAATCACTCCCACACCATTCTTCCTTTCAGCTAATGATGTAGCAGTTAGCTCTAAACCTGTCAACCAACTGTTGGCTCCTAAATTCCACACCCATGTTTATTATCATATAGACCATTAATTATGAGTCAGAAGAATTTCCTACATAAGAAGGCTTCGACCAACTGATCATGTTGAAGGCTCATCAAAGAATGACAAGATACTTAGAGAAATTCCTTTTAGTTGGAATCTTGTTGTCTTCGACGTCGAAGGAACCTCTCGACAAAGGTTCCTGATGCCCAAGGTCGAACGGTTTGAGATTTGAATTATTGGAGGGAAAACGGTTCCCAACAGTTACCAAGTGCAACGTGTCAAGAACATAGGCGTCGAAGGTTGTGAGCGTGCCATGTGGCGTCATCTCGAAGCGGTGTAACTGCCCAGCGGTTACTTAGGATTTTTCTTAGTATAAATACTAAGTTTTTATGTAGTTATTAGTGTGTTCATCATTTTATACAAGTCACTCATTTAGATTCAAGTACCCAACGTGAGAGAAAGAATCATTGAGAATGTATGTGTGAAACACCATTTAAATTAATCAAAATCTTTTATATTCAAGCAATTTACCGTTCATTTATTTACTTCTGTCGAAGCCTTTTATTTAACAATTTCTTAACGCTTTTATTTATTCTATCAAGCTTTTCTCCATGCAATTTACTTAAAGTGTCTTTACTTTACTGGCATTAATCACCATTAGGATTAGTCGAACTACAACAAATCAACCATGTCTTAGGATCAATCTGATCGATCCTGCTAGTCACCAAATAAGTAACCTTTTGGAAGATCAGCGGTTGTTTACCATTTTTCCCGGTAAACAAATTGGCACACCCGGTGGGACTTTGTGTTGATTTTCTCACGATTAACTGTTTTATATAAAATATCCTCCTTTTTCGAGAGTATTGCATGTTATTGAGAAGTGGTAGAATATACACCAACGAAACCAATACTAGGAGAAGAAGTAAAGAAATGGCGAATCCGCCAAACAACGGAGAAATCCCACAGACAAACATGGGAGCAACGGTTATTCCAACCGTAAGTGAAGTGGTAACCGCTGGTTCAACGCCAACAGTAACGGTTACACAAACGGGGCCTTTACCTCTATTCACAGGCCCCAGAATGCCTTTGGGAACTCCCCCACCAAGGGGAAACCAAGGAACTAGGCCATATGTTCCCCCAGGATTTTCGACAGTCGGTTTAAATCGAGAACCACTCTATGGCATGCCAACTTCTGAATTGGCTAGCCTGACGAATGCTACGTCCACTTTTTCAGATCCTTTAGTGAGCGCCTCTTCGCCACTCCAAGGCTCTGGGGTTGGTATGGCGAACAGGGGTAGGACCTAACTCTTAGGAGGAACGTCCCAAGTAATGCATGGCCTTACGAATGCCTCGACAGCAGTCTTGAGACAGCAAATGGACGAAAAGCAACCACGACATGGTTCAAATGTTGGCGCAAACTTTAAGTACAGTGCTAAATCCTCTAATACAGAATACCACCCAGTCGAATCAGCAAATGACAGCGCAAATGTCGCGTCTGGCTGACTTTTTTTGGGTACCCCAACCTATTCGACAGCCCCAAAGGGCACAGATGAGGGGAAACCAAGGCATACTTCTAGAGGAAGAAACCACTATTAACCAAGTCCAACAGCCTGTGGAAGAGAACCTTAGGGTACAAATGGAACAACCCAGGGTCGAAGAGCCTAGAGTTATAGCCCCGGAAATAAGGATGGTTAATAGAAACCAAAACGCTGACGAAGTAGTTCAGCAGATCCAATACCAGAATGTTGGTTTGGAGAATAACTTGACAGCCATGATTGAAAGAATCATGATGCAAAGTGGGATGAATACGGGCTTCCGTAGGCCCAACTTCACATCCCCGCTGTCGGAATATGTGTTACAAACGGACTTGCCTCCTAGATACAAAGTCCCTGAGTTCACTAAGTTTTCAGGGGACACCACAGAATCCACTGTCGAACATGTGGCAAGATATTTAATCGAAGCAGGAGAAATTTCAAACAATGAGAACATAAGGATTAAGTATTTCCCAAGTTCCCTAACCAAGAATGCGTTTACTTGGTTCACAACTCTCCCCCCCAATTCGATCCAGCATTGGACCCAGTTGGAGAGATTATTCCATGAGCAATTCTACATGGGACAAACCAAGATAAGCCTGAAAGAGTTGGCCAGTGTAAAGAGGAGATTCACTGAGTCTATAGACGAATACCTAAATAGGTTTAGATTGCTCAAGGCAAGATGCTTTACGCAAGTGCCAGAACATGAGTTAGTCGAAATAGCCGCAGGAGGTCTAGATTACTCCATTAGGAAGAAATTAGACACTCAGTACCTGAGGGACATGGCCCAATTGGCCGATAGGGTTCGACAGGTAGAACGCCTTAAAGCTGAAAAAGCCAGGGCGACGAAAACTCATAAAAGAGAAAGGATAGCGTATATCGAAATGGACGATGAAGATCCAGAAACGTTCGACGAAACTATAACCGTCGAAGAAAGTGAGGTCGATTTAGCTGAGTTAAAACAAGGGCCACCATACTCTTGCAAACTACTAGTCCCCTCAAGTGGAAAAAACCCCACTGGTTCTGAAAAGGCCAATGATAGGTTCCCTAAAAAGACTTACAGTTTTGATATTACGAAATGTGATGAAATTTTTTATTTACTTGTAAAAGATGGCCAAATGAT